CCATGATAGTGTGTGCTGAATTACTTGAAAATGTTTCTTTGCCGAATTACCTGAAAATGGTGTGACCTCTTTCTTTTCCCAACAGAGGAAGGTGGGTGGATCTCCTGTTGGTGAGCAATGCTGCCTTTCCATTGGTTTAAGAACCTCTTCTTTGAGCTGCTACAGGTTCTGGGGGAGCTCTCTTTAATAGTTTCTCAATTTGGCTGAGCTTCAGTTTGGCAGCTTTAATAACTCCTTTATTGGTGATTATGATGGGGTGAGGAGGGTTGTTGGGTCCTTGAGGCAGTAGTTAAAGTTGGAGGAGATTTTTTGCTGAACTGATCTGTCTCCCCAAAACGGAGTGGATATGTTGCACATGAAGCAAATTAGGTTCTCTGTCAGAGGTTCTTTCTTCCCAAGTGACAGGTTAAAGTGTCAATAAACATAAAATAACATATGTATGTACATAACATTATTAAGGCATTGTGGAAAAGACCCATGACTGCTTTCAGCACTAAGAATAATGGTGGCACGGTGACCAGGCTCTATCCTGTGTGTACTTTGCAAGTTCTCCCTGTGTCTGTGTGGTTTTCCTCCAGGCGCTCTGGTTTCCTCCCACAGTCTAAAGACATGCAGTCAGGCCAATTGGATATGCTAAATTGACCCAAGATGTGAGTGTGTGCACATGTTTGTCTGTTTGTCTGCCCTGCGATGTACTGGTGACCTGTCCAGGGTTTATCCTGCCTTCCACCCACTAACTGCTGGGATAGGTTCCAGCTCCTCCCTGCAACCCAGACAGATAAGCGGCTTAGAAAATGTGTGTGTGTGTGTGTGTGTGTGTGTGTGTGTGTGTGTGTGAGAGAGAGAGAGAGAGAGAGAGAGAGAGAGAGAGAGAGAATAAATGCATTTGTCTAATTATTAAACATTTACAAGCTGCAGTTCTGCTTGACAGCTCCTTAGGAACCTAATCATTTTGGACACGATCAGGAGCGCCCTCTAGTGTCTGACAAACCTGAAAGACATTATGGATAGAAAGACATTAAGGATGGAACTACAAGTATTTCAAAGGGTCAAACCTAGGCATTTTAGTTAGTTAAACGATGCTTTACTGACCGATATGATGGTCAGTTGTGTACAAGGTATGGATAGAAGACGTGCAAGATGTCAATTCATATGTGCAGGCATCGATCAGTTGAAGTAACAATAAGATTAGAGTGAGTTGTCTGTTTGAGGTGTGCGGTCTGGATTGTCCATGGAGATCATCATGATGATGATTCAGGAAGTTTGGGAGCTGGACCCTGGTGATGTACTGGGCTGTCTGCACCACTCTACAGAGCTTTCCACTTAAAGCCATGCAGTCCTCATACCAGGTGGTGATGGAGCCTGTTAAAATGCTCTCCACAGTATATGTGTAAAACTGGTCTGAGGATGCAGGGGTTCATGCCAAACCTCCTCAGCCGTCTGATGTAGAAGAGCCTCTGTTGTGCCTTTACCACCTGTGTGGTGTGTGCGGTCGATGTCAGTTCTCCTGTGATATGAACACCAAGGGAACTTGAAGCTGCTGACCCTCTCTACAGTGGTTCCATTAATGGTGATGGAGGTGTGCACTTTCTCTTGCGTCCACTATGAGCTCCTTGGCCTTGTCAACATTGAGAAAGAGGTTGTTCTCTTGGCACCAGTGTGTCAAGAAGCTGACCACCTCGCTGTAGGCCTCCTCGTTGTTATTGGAGATCAGGCCCACAATTGTGGTGTCATCTGCAAATTTGATGATGACATTGGAGCTGTGTCTGGCTGAACAATTGTACAAAGAGAACAAGAGAGGGCTGAACACACAGCCCTGAGGAGCTCCGGTGTTAAAGGTCAGTGAGGAGGAAGTGATGTTGCCCATGCTTACGACGTGGCGTCAGCCCGCCTGGAAGTTCAGGATCCAGCTGCACAGAGAACTGTTTAGACTCAGATCCTGAAGCTTAATGCGAGCCTTGAGGGCACGATGGTGGTGAATGCTGAGCTGTAGTCCACAAACAGCATTCTCACATTCGTGTTCTTTTTGTCCAGATGGGAGAGAGCAGTGTGCAGAGTCAGGGCTATGACATCATCAGTGACAGCAATCATCTGTTCTGTCTGTAGGCAAACTGCAGTGGGTCCAGAGTGGCAGGTAGTGAGGAGCAGATAAAGTCTCTGACCAGCTTCTCAAAGCACTTGCTTATGATGAAGGACAGAGCAACAGGGCGCTAGTCAGTTAAGTAATAACCCTGGCTGACTTTGGAACTGGCACAATGGTGGCCAGTTTGAAGCATGCAGGCACAACTGAGAGGAGGAGAGGTCAAATATGTAGAACACTCCTGAGAAAAAGAGAGAGGTAAATGAAATAAAATTAGTGTGAAACTATCACCTGATTTAGTATTGGTTTCCACATGTATTTTCAGATTAAAAAAAGGTAAATAAATAAACAAATAATTAAGAAACTGAACAGAGTAAAATCTGTTTATGAAACTGTAATAGTATGTAACCCACTTAAAGTGAAGGTTTATTTTCATTTCATGTTTGTGCTGCACTTAAGGTATAGATGTTGCAGTTCTTGAAATTTCCTGTAGAGGGCGCTTTAAGATAGTCTGAGCCACCTGGGAGAACTGGTCCAAACCAGTTTTAGAAAAGAAAAAAAACAACGAACGAAACCACTTGCAGCTTAGCTTTGAATTTACTACTCTTCACAGCATTGAATTTACTGACCTAGAGTACGGATTTACAGATATTAAGACTAGAACTGAGCCATATCTTACTTCTTTCACTCTGTAAAGGTGAAATTATCCATCAATGTCTTTTGCTGTCGATTATTTCCCGTTTTAATGAGCAACTCCGTTTGGATCTTCCAAGCACGCACGCGCGTCAGACTGTGAGTGAGACCAGAACGGCGAGCCAGGACCACGTGTTGAAAGCCGTCTGCCCTGCGTGTTGTTCCTTCACGGACAGGGACAGAACAGGAGAAACAGATAAGCTTTTCTTTACGAACTGATTGAGATTAATCCCCAAGAAAAGAAAAGAAAAGAAGCGGCATACACGCATATTCACATAAAAGCTGCATAGCAGTCTTGAGCTTCAGATTTTAATTCAGAGACAGTGACCCTGAAGAGCTCTTAAGTTTTTTTTTGGGCCCATTTTTTTTATTTTTTTTGTTTGTGTAACTATTTGTTTCCTTGTTTTGTATATGCCTGTTGAGCTAACAATATATTCATTTTTGTTATTTTCTTCCAAGCCTTTGTCGCATCTCATTCTTTCCATTCTCCTCGTTTCGAACCTAGCAAACATGACCCAAGTGGATTTCTCCATACCAGTGAGACGGTTACAAGTAGTTTATGGAAGAATGGAGGCAGCAAGAATGGGATGAATGGGATAGTAACAAATAAAAGGCAATGGTACATAACAATTATGTATGAATATTTTAAAGTGGGTTATGATAAGATTGCTTATGTTACAGAATCAGTCAGCTATAATCATTTGTCATGTTAAAGGTTTCTGTTCATGTAGTTTTCTGTAGGAAAATTTAAGAATATAGGAATGTAGGAACAGGATTTTCTGCTTAAAGTCAAGTCAAGTCAGCTTTATTGTCAATACTACAATATGTACAGGACATACAGAGTATTGAAATTGCGTTACTCTCAGACCCAAAACCAAAGGCAGTCGATCAGCCACAACTTGTTTAGTGTACAAATTTTGTGTCTTTAATTTAGAACTGGAGCTACTAGGCTAATGTTGCTAAGAAACATTGGAAGTCAATAATGGCCCTATCCATTTAATGATGGTTCATATTTGAGTTTCATGACAGTATGACTCACTAGGGACTATAAGACAAAAAAAAACCAAAAACTAGGTAACGTAGGTAGAGAAGCTAAGCAAGAGATGTTATGTGGATGATCATGAAGTTCCAATTTTAGCTTTAATGTGTAAACAAGAACTATCGGTGCCCTTTTACTGAATCATTTTTTTTTTTTTTACACAAATTTACATTTCTTTTGGGCATAATTTGAAGTAAATACATGAGGATTTTGGTGTGTATTTGTGGAAATGGTTAGGGTGACTACTGACTTCAAGTGTTCATTAGCACCTATAGCCCAGCAGCTCCAGTTCTAAACGAAGAAGTCAAAGTTTTGACACCAAACTTCTTGGCTGATCGACTGCATTTGGCGGTAGTGGAAAATCATGTTAATTAGATTTTTGCATGTCAAAACTATTTATTCTGAAAAAAGCTTGCACTGCATCAGGTCTGAACTCAGGCGAAGATTTGAGAGCACATATCACCCAGGCATATAGAATGTGAACATGCAATTGGAGAACAAATTTTCAAAAGCTAATAAACAAATATCATTAAAATAACCTCTTCCATGAGGAAAAAAAACTGTTATCAGATATGGATTCAGATTAAGGCTGCCAAAATACAATATGTATGTAAATGGAAGGTGGAGATGGAGAGAAGGAAGAATTTTTCATGTCACTGCTGCTTCATTAAGAGCCTGAAGAGACCTTAGCCTCCTGAGCAAACACTATGGTATATATAGTAAGAGACACATCAAGCTTTAATCAAATGTTAGGAAGTAAAATCAGATCCCTAATAGGTGAATTTGACTTTTAGGACTTCTATTTTTGAGTATATACTGGTTTCTTTACATTTGCACAAAATGGAGAATACTGATCACCTGACTCTATGATAAAGAGGTGCTTTCTTGTTATACAGCTATCTTTGCATTGTGAACAGCCACTATCAAAGCAGAGTTAAAATTTTCAGCATGATTTTGTGATGACTTCTTGTCTTGATATGAAGAATGGGATATCACATAAAGCAAATAATACAGATGTGATACTTCAACAGAAAATACTGTCATTTGTTTGAGCTAACATTACAGTAGTGGCTGTGCTTAAATTAGAATTTCTCTTTGAATTTCTGTTGGTAATAATAGAGAAGCATTTTGCTGTAACTGATTGCTGTCATTTATTGCCCTTTTTTTTATGACAGTGCTGAATGTAAAATGACAGTGTACAGCATGCAGTACCTTCCTGTGCAAAATATTTCATTCACAATTTTCAAACTGAATGGTTTCCATGATTTGGAAGAATGGCACCCCATTCTGTCCATTCCCTATCTTCTTATGTTTTTATTGTCTACCATCTCAAATTCCATTCTTATGTATGTAATTATATCCCAGAGATCTTTGCATTCTCCAATGTTTCTATTAATTGGTTTAATGGCTGTTGTGGACCTGTGCTTACCAGTATTTTTTGTCCCAAATATGCTGCTAAGCTTTTTATTTAACTGGAATGGGATTTCACTTGTGGGTTGTTTAGTACAAATGTTTTGTATTCATTATGTTGGTGCATTTCAGTCTACTTTATTGCTGTGGATGGCTGTGGATCGGTTCTTTGCTATATGCAGGCCACTTTATTATCACAAGTATATGCAAATGCTCAACTTTCTAAAGTTTATTATTGTGCCAGTAATCAGGAATGTAATCTTAGTTGCTACAATGGTCTCTTTGGCAGGAAAACTGCAATTTTGTATGAAAAATGAGATAGATCACTGTTTTTGTGAACACATGGCATTGGTTCAGTTGGCATGTGGAGATATTTCTATTAACAACTTGATAGGACTCTTAACTGCGCTTCTAGTACCAGCTACAGATTTTGTTTTTATTACAGTATCTTACATAATAATATTTGCTTCTGTCATACAGTCGGGGAAATCACACTCGAAGGCTATCAACACATGTGTTACACACATAATCATTATTACAGGTAGTTTAGTATTCGCCTTGGTTGCTTTTTTGTCATACAGAATAAAAAATAATTTTTCTTCCAACAGTCGTATTTTTATAAGCACTATGTATATTCTATTCCCAAGCTGTTTCAACCCAATTATCTATGGAATAAGAACAAAAGAAATAAGGCAACAGTTTCTTAAGTTCTTTACCTGTGCAAAAGTTTCACCACAGTAGTCCAATAATGTGTGGTGTGGCATTGTTAAACATGTTATCCAGTGGGCATTTTTTGAGAACCCGCTTAGAGTAACAGGTTAAATGAATAAATAAACTGTCTCCATTTTCATAATTGTACATTTTTATTGGTGCATTATTCGATTTAAGGTTAGGAATTCATTATAAACAGGTTAGCGGGGTGGATAGAGAGTTGTTATTCATTACTATACGTAATTATTGTTTTAAAAGAGTTGTGCTTTATTACCGAAATTGAGTTGTACTCTTATTCACTTACATTTCCAAGAAAACATTTTTTCCCCTTGCATGTCCACTCAACTCATCAGTCTATAAAACCTTAATCTGGAACACTGGAACGTTTTGCCAATTCATTCTTGGTACATGCTTCTGGTTTAGGCCCTGCACCAAGGGTAGTTAGTTCACCATGAGAAGACCCCAATCCTCACACAAATACCCAGGTGTACTGGATGTTGATTTGATTGCCTGATTTGAGTAATCAATTGCTTTAAATATAAACAAGAGGAGCTACCACCTCTTCACACCCACTCTTACCCCAAGTGCAAGTGCAAAACATTATTTAGCAGACTTCAAGCACAGGATTAAAGAGGTGTTCTGTTACTCACAGCTATAGAATATCATTTATACTACCCCACCTAAATTCAACAGATAACCTCCCCCAATTACTAACTCAAAGCTAATTTTTTGTAACAAATAAAGGAAAACAAGTAGATAGTTGGTGTGTTATTATGCATGGGACAATAAATTATACATACAATTAATAGAATTACTAGGATGACCAACAACTAAAACTGAATGATTTTGTTACATACTCACTTACCCACATTCATATATGCAGCAGGAAGAAAGATAAATAAGATATGGGAGGGAAATCTAAGGTACGTTTGTACAAATGTGGGAAATCTAAGATATTTGTACAAATGTTTTCGTTGCTGTTTTTCCAAAAGAGTCACACTTTCAGGAGAGAATCAGGCAATCTGCAAACTTTTCTTGTGACAACAAGAAATTGCAAAGAAAGTGCATTCTGAAAATGCAGCCAAAACAAAGTAATGCATGCAAACCCTTTAATGTTAATTGTTTTATACAGGCATGTTCTTGGCAAACAGGGCAGCAACTTACGCAAGGCGCAGTTTCATTATGATTTATTATGATTTCATTATAGAAGCAGGTTGTTAATAGAATAATCTTTGAAAACAGATATATTTCTTGATTATGGGCTACCTAATGAACGAGAGTGCTTGGCAAAACATTTATTCTATTTATCTGATTTTATTTACTTATTTCAGTGGTTCGTTGTTTATACTTTATTATTTAGTTTAGCATAGTAAATTGTTATTGATAATGAAACAGTGTGTGAGGGACCAATCACAACAGCCCCTGGGGAAGTCTGTGTAGAACAAATACTGTTCACACACAGCAAAAACAACAGCTGCAACAACATGAACATCAAATAGCTGCACTGGACGCTATAAACCAACAACTGACAGCCCTACATAACACTGAAGTTTGATGCCAATCACAGCCTTTAAAGGATTCAAGTTACAGTGCTCTCTCCAGGAAGGAGATGAGTGGAAGTCTGCCTTCTCTACAACCACAGGGCATTATGAGTACCTTGTAATACTGTATGGTCTGGCTAAGGCCCTATCTATGTTCCAGATCTAGTTATGGTCATAAAAGTCATAAGTATACATAAACACAACATGCTAAAGCTAATAACACTCAAACAATTATAATATTTCATATCTGTATTGTGCACACCAACTAAATATTCACAGTGGAATAAGTAAGTCATGGGTGCTCTTTGGCAGCAATGTTTTTTTGGAGAGCAGCAGTTCCTCCGTGGTGTCCTGCCATGGACACTATGCATATTTCTCATAAGGTAGACTTATGAGCATATATTTTAACCAGTTCCAGCATTTTCCTTAAGCCTTTAGCTTTTAATTTATGGTTCTTTTTGACTTCACTGAGCATTCTGCGTTGTATCTTTGGCGTGATCATGGCTGGGTTCCCACTTCTAGGGAGAGTAGACACAATACTAAATTGTCTCCATTTATAGTCAGTTTGCCTGTGGACTAATGATTAACTGAACTCTTTGCGATTACTTTGCAACTCTTTCCAGCTTTATGCAAATTAAGAATTATTGATCATAAGGCTTCTGGTAAGTCAATGTAGCTTTAACCCACACCTCCAATCTCATTTCATTGATAGAACTCCAGATTTGCTGCTCATAACACTTAGCTGTTGTTGAAGTCATTAGCCTAGGGGTTCACATAATTTTTCCAACCTACGCTGTGCAAGTTTGAATGATGTTTTCAATAAGGACAAGAACAATACCTTATTTGCATGCTATTAGTGTAAACAGATTGTGTTTATTGTAACTTAGATGAAGACCAACCCATATTTTTAAAAGACTTTATACATACATCCAGGTAATTCCAAAGGTATATACTTTTTCTTTCCACTGTATCTATCACAAACACAACTGTGTGAGGAAATCCTCATAGTAGACAAAGTGCAGCATGTGTATAGCATGGCTGTTCCATGCCAGTCTCTGGAAGCTTCCTCAGAAGCCTGTAGGAATACAGCAAAGGCCCATGAGAACTGGATGTATATAAAAGCAGAGACAAATGTCAAGCTTTATTCAGCTGTTGTGAAACAAAATATCATATGATAAATGACTATGCAAAGAACAGTATTTCAATTCAGTACATCATTTTTATCACTTCTGCTCAAACCACAGTATCATAAACATTAAACAATGTTTTTGCCATTATACAATTAAACCGTAAGAGTTCTGGAGCTACTTAAAGTGTTTTCCTAGTGTAGAGCTGTCTTTGCGGTGTCATTCCAGAATATCCTTCAAATTGTTTTGCAATTTGTCCTTCAAATTGTTATTTAAAACACATATGTATTTGGATAAATGTGAATTTATTCTTAAATTAAGTTTTTTTCCACCTAGACTGGATGTAATTATCTATAAAAATCAGTTTAGATGTGAAGAATATTGTTTTCATATCAAATAGAATGAGGCAAATAGGTTATACTGTCATTGGCATTTGGCTAGCGTTACAGTAGTGGCTGCATCAAAATGCAATTTTCAAATGCGTCAAATTCATGATCTGTAATTATTGGTAGCATTACTAAAAATATTGCTTTTATTGTCTGTTGTAACAAGCATGTTTTTTTTGCTGACTCTACCATGAGCAGCGTGGAAGATCTTCCTGCAAAAAATGTTTCATTCACTTCTTTTAAACTGAATGGTTTCTATTCTTTGGGAGAATGGCGGCGCTTTCTATTCATCCCATATTTTCTCATGTTTTTATTGTCTACCACCTCAAACTCCATTTTAATAGTTTTAGTTATATCCCAGAGAGCTCTGCACTCTCCGATGTTTGTATTAATTGGACTAATGGCCATCGTGGACTTGTGTATGCCAATATGTTCTATACCACATATGCTGCTCAGCTTTTTATTTGACTGGAATGGGATTTCACTTGTTGGCTGTTTAGCACAAATATTTTGCATTCAGAGTGTTGGTTCATTTCACTCTACTTTACTGCTGTGGATGGCTCTGCATCGGTTCTTTGCTATATGCAGACCTCTTTCTTATCACAATTATATGCAAATGTCCAACTTTCTCAAGTTTATTATTGTTCCAGTAATTAGAAATATACTCTTAAATATCACAGTGGTTTCTTTGGCTGGAAAACTAAATTTTTGTATGAAGAATGAGATAGATCACTGTTTTTGTGAACACATGGGATTGGTCCAGCTTGCATGTGGAGATACTTCTATTAACAACTTACTAGGGCTTGCAACTGCTTTTCTAATAGCAACTACAGATTTTGTTTTTATTACTGTATCTTATATAATTATATTTGCTTCTGTCAAGAAATCAGGAAAGTCCACTATGAAGGCTTTTAACACTTGTATAACACATATAATCGTCATCACATTTACTTTAGTATTTGTTTTGACAGCTTTTTTGTCATATAGAATTAAAAATAATTTTTCTGCCAACAGCCATACTTTAATAAGTACACTGTATGTACTTTTTCCAAGTTGTTTCAATCCAGTTATTTATGGAGTGAGAACAAAAGAAATAAGGCAGCAGTTTTTTAAATTCTTTAACCATGTGAAAGTCTTACCACATTAGTTCAGAGATGTAGGCTGCAGCATTGTTATTCAAACCTGTTCAGTGGTCACATTAAAAAACGACTACTTACAATAATAACTACTACTTGTGACCTTAAGTTTAGTTTCACCTTTGTGGATTGGAGGTTGTTTAATGTAATGACTAAACAATTCAAAAATTAAAGTGCACACTAATTGAACTGACATTGCGATTTACCTAAACAAAGGTAGATAACATCAGTATGAAATTATTGAAATAAGTTGAATGTCTGTGTGTTTGTTTGTTTATTGTACATGATTTCTTAGGGTTTTGATAAAATTCCAGGTTGAATAATACAGTAGAAGTGTTTAAAATTACTTGCAAAAAAATCTAGTTACATTAAAAGGTAAGAAGCTTTCCTCTTTCTCCTGTAAAATAACCTAGATCTTAGGAAGTCATTCATTTAAAAGTAACACTGCTGGCAGTTAACTGAGGAAAATGTAAATTCCCTGTCTGTATTGACTGTTTGTCTTAATGTAAAATGGGTGATGGCTTTGTTCTTAATCAGTATGAGAAGTTACTAAGTCTGAGACTGAAGTTGAAGAGTTACAGGGTACCTGGCTCAACAACTTTGTAGGAGAATAAAACTCAAAGGTTTTTCTTTGATGAGTGCCTTATTTCTCCACTACACCCAGCAGTGGCTTAATTAAACATGGGCCTAGGTTCATAAGGAGACTGGCTGTTTGACCTTCTGGAATCTAATGAATTAATTAAAGCTGTAATTCACTGTCAGTTTTCATGTTGAATGATGTGGTTCACAATGTAAAGATCTGAAATAAACAAACTAAAAGGGAGATCTCCAAAAATATAT